CCTTGACCGTCGCGCCCTGCTGAAGGACGAGTTGGTTCTTCAGCATCTTCACCCTCGCGGATTCATCCTTCAGCTCGCTAATACAGCCCTCGCAGATCGCGTGGTCCTCCTCAAGCTTCTGCAAGGCGGCGCCCTCCCTCTGCGCCCGCTCTATGACGTGAACCAGTTCGACCATGGCCCGACCCATGGTCGCTATAGCATGATGGGCGAGCTGAGGCAGAGAGAGCATGGGAACGGCGATCTCAGCAGTAGGGGTCCACGACGTCATAACGGCCCACGCCGCTGACATCACCTGCCCGAGTAGGTGGTAAGGATTAGGCATGTCCAGCGGGACCGCCGACCTCGAATCGATAAACCACTGGTCAGGAAATCGGTGCAGACTCTTCTCGAGGGAAGCTTTCCGACCTGGGTTCACAGGTATATAGGTCGAAGACCCGGCCTGGTGAACAAAGGCCGACGATTCGCATGCCTGGGCGGTCTTCTCGACCTCGGCAGTCTTGTTCCTCTTCGGGGACGGAGGGGCCGTGTTCTGTCCCCCGGTCTCCGCCTCCTCCTCGGCCTCCTCCGGCTCGTCCACGAGGAGCCTACGTTTTCTTTAGCGCGTCGCGACGCCCGGGCGCCGGCCCGGCCACCACGGCTCCTATTCCTTCCACCGGCGGCGTGATCGGGGGCCACCGGCCCGAAACCAGAGGGTACCTCGGCCCCTCGTGATGAGGGAGTCACAGATGCCGGCTTGGACGGCGCGGAGCCTGAAGTTCCCGTCGAGCTCGGGCCAGGAGCTTTCTTCTTGCCCTGCTGTGTTAGGAAAGCAATGCGGCTGGCCATCTTTCGCTCTTTTAATGAGCTCGGGTGTGCACGGGCGTGTTTGTTTGCCTCTTTCACCGAGCTAAATCCACACTGACGCAGGAGAGGGTAGTACACTGCCCACAGAAGACAAAGGGTAAGGAAAAAGCCATCGTAAGTAGAAGAAAGAAAGTTCCAAGGAGAAAAGCAATATCGGGCTGGAAAGACTTGTTGTTATACTCGGGGCAAAGGCTGTGCAGGATCAGACTCTCCTCGGTAACGAGATATTTGTAATACCGCTTCCCCTCAGCAAGTCTTAGCAGGGAATTGACCTTCGCAACCAGATCGCTGCTCGGGTCAACGCGAGGATTATGGACTGAAATGCAAATACCGACTTGTTAGCACGGAAAGACAACAAATTAGAAGAATAAAGATGATTAAGAAATGCAACTCACATGTGCCAGAGATGAATTTAGTAGAAGGGTGTCGAGCTGCGTCAGGCGTTCTCCACTCGCCTCCAACCCAGAACCACTCTGGCATGTAGCCGTGCAGCGACTCAGGGATCTTGTGGACTAAGGACCTGTCCACGCCCAGAGATGCCGAGCTATAGTAATTGCCAGTCTCCCTGGATTTCTTCAAGACGAACAAGGCTTTCACGTTGTCGCTGGTCGGGTCGGCCCAGCCCTGCTGAAGGAAGAGAACGATGAGACCGACCAGCCTGGCAAAGACTGTCGGCACGAGCTGACTGATGCCGATGTCGAGATTGCTAAGGATGTCGTTCAGAGCTCCCGGCAAAAGAGATCGAAGGCCGAGCAGGATACTCGAACGGTACACGCCGATGCAGCCCGGCAGGGGGCAATGGATACGCTCACCGGCGTAAGGGGCAAAAACTCGAACCCCGGGGCCGAAGCAAGCCTTTCCCCTCAGCTGGGCGAGGTCGACATCCCTTAGCACCGATGCAGTCGTCCAGGCAGTTGTCGAGGCGGTGGACGGCCAGATGCGCGCAGGGCGGCACCAACATCCAGGGGGGCCGTGGTCGCGGCTTCCACTGCAGCGTCGGTCTCGGCGTCCTCGCGACCCATGGGGACCCGTTCTCGTCCGTGGGTATCACCCCGTAGAGTCTCGGCGACGAGTTCCGCGTCGACGTCGGACTCTCCAGCGGAGTCGGTGTCGATCTCTTTTTCACGCTCCTCGGCGCTTAACGGGCTGGAGTGCGGACTGGAGCCGAGGTTGATAATCTCGACCGTGGGAAACTCTGGAGGGCTCCCTCCGCATGGGCCCGCCGCCGCCGCCACCGACGTCACACGAACGGCCGAAATTGGCGTAACCCTGAGCAGCTGGACCGCCCCCACCGCCGGAGGAGAGTAAACAACCATCTCTCCGGTCTCCTCCGCCCTGTGTCCTTCGTCTCCGATAGGGAGATTCACCACGGAACCAAAAAAGTTCGACATAATCGAAAAGTAAGAAGAAAGGTTTTGAGAAAAGTGAAATTACCGGCGTGAGAATTGTTGAAAAGCTCGGGAAGCCTTAGAAAGTGCCTTGGATTCTTGCTCGAAAACTCGGAAGCTCGTCTGCTCGAAAATCTCAGGAACTGTAAAAACCTCTCGAGGAAGACGATGGAGCCTCTTTATACGCGTCTCTGACCAACTGCAGGTTGACACGTGGCGTGGCTTTTGAATTTCAAAAAGTAAAAACGCAATCCGACGGACGAGGGGAACTTAATCCGACGGCTCGAGCGCAGTGTCGTGTCCTCACGCGCCCAACAAGAACCCACGCTCGGCGAAGCGACACGGCGTTAGACACGGACGAATCGCGCGACGCCACGTAGAAAGTCAATGACGCGGTGCAACTTTTCATGACCGACAGGAAGCGTAACGGACAAGTCGCATTAAATGGCCCGTCGCTTCAGGTCTGAGGAGGACGTGCGCGACGACACGAAAAAAAATCCTCGCCAAGTTAAGTTCGCGTGCCGAGCTCGCGTACCGTCGAGCTGCGACCAGAACTTGCGAACTCGGATGAACTCTGAAACGACGACCTCACAGGGAATGCCGAAGCCACCCCCTCCGAGCGCGAGGGCCTGTATGTTGACATCCGAGTTCTCCCCAAAGAGGAGCCAGACAATAGGTATCTCCCGGAAGCCGAACCGACTCCCAGAGCCGAACCGAAGACCCGGTCGAGCGCAAGCGCCGAGCTGAATTCCGAATTTAAGTAGTCCAGACATCCCCGCGGGCCCGTCCACGAGACGGCATTTGTCCTGTTCGGATACCGATGCCGACCTGAGGCAGGTGACGGGCTGAAGTAAGGTCCCGGAGGGCCAGGAGGCTGAAACAGGATCGGGTGCTGACCTGAGTTTCTGGGGCGGTTGCCCCAAAGACAGATGCCGATCTTGATAATAATGTAATAATGCCACTTGGAGAGCAATCATTGGTGATTAGACGGGGCGCCGTAGCCTGTAGTTCTATATCCAATAGCCAAGACATAAAGCCTGCCAGCATTAAATGACCCCCATGTGTGCATTAAATGTCTGCCAGGCAATGATGAGGAAAACCTCAAATCGCATTTAATTCTGTCAGGGAGGCAGACTGCTCTGCAAGAACACTGTGCGATAAGACCCATGAACAGTGTCCGAACAGTGCCACATTTAAGGGCACTATAAATAGCAGCCCACTTCATTTATTTCTGGGTTGTTGAATCTCCAACTGTCTTTATTCTCTACATTTTCTCTCTTTAAACTTGTGAAAAACCTCTGTAAGGATTTGTAAGGATATCGCAAGTGCCGACCTCGTACGAGAGGCCGACCTTGATCAGTTAATAAAATCATAATTAAATCGTATTTCTTTGTCTTTTCCTCATTACCTTTTCATTATTTATCTTTTTAATCGTTGACCGGAAACGCCCGTCAACAACACACATATCGAAAGTTCAGCAAGCTTGTAACACCATGGTTACACGTATCGAAATTCTAGCAATCACACATCATGATTGCACATATGCAGATATCACCACAAAGATATCACCACAAACACATTGGCAACAATAAATAACCAATTCCCTACATACCTGAATAGTGTGTTCAGTCTCACAACTCGCCTTCAACTCGCCATTTGTAATTTTATCAACAACATCCAGACGACGATCAGCTTCCACGACATGCGCGTCCTTGTTCACAAATCCTCTGCCAAATGCACCAGTATTTATCTCATCACGCTCTCTGTCCCTTAATAGGTCATTAGTCCATGCTTTAAACGTCGGGAACGATCTTCGAACAGTTCTTATCGACAACACCACCTTATCCACATAGAATAGCTAGAAACAAAAAAAAGAGGTATTAATAATAATATTTACATAACATAATATGAAAAAAAAATGCATATGCTAAGATGTTTAGCAATTAAAATCATTCGTACTAACCGTCAGAAACATCAAAGGGCCTGTATACTTGTTCTGTTTGCCATTACCGCACCATGTTTTTCTTGTGTTCACAAGGCAACTGATCATGTACGTGCACCAGTTCATATCAGCAACATTGGATACATCATCGAGCAAGTGGACAATTCGTGAATTCGCCATTCCGTTTTGGCAGCTCTCAAACAAGCACGTCACCATCAGAACAACAAAATGCCTCTTAAACCAATCGTCACCATCTGCACATTCCTGGATGTTCTCAAGAACCTTAGTTGTTGTGGTATTAGTTGACCTTCTAACATCGAACAGACTAACCCATTGACTAAGAATGTTTGATTCCACCCTCTTTTGTTTGTTTGATATTTGAATTGAGCCACGAGGGAGTCCTAAAACCGCATACACATCCTCCTCCCTCACATGTATCTTTTCACCACCATATAGTCGCAGCTTGCAGTCCGTATAGTTGAAGTTATCAACCAACCAAAAACTCATTTTCAGTGGCAACGACGTTATCTTCAAGTCTAGCAAGTATCCAAGGCCCATCTCACGAACTGCATTTTTCTTTGCATCTGACAGCCCGGACACAGCCTTCACAAACGTGGTTGCTGATGATCTTGTATTCACGATAGGGAAAACTCCATCATCATCGCTACCGGATTCATACACAACCAGTTCTTTGTCTGATACATGATCAATAGAATGTTCTTGATTAACCGACACTTTACCCTCACCTGTTGCAAACATAAATTCATCAAAAAAAATGTGCAATAACTATGAATAGAGTCGTAATTTGGCAGGTGAGTAACAAATACCCTTATGCTTGATGGTCGACTTGACACGACGCGTACGAGGGCATTCCTCCACGATATCATCACTACTATGAGGTTGGTTCGATGTTGGCAAAATCATCTTCACGCGCTTCGCACATGACACATCGCGATCTGCCTTTCTCTTACCTAGGAACGGTAATTAAAATTAATTCACAATTTGATAAAAGACCATTCCATACAGTGACATATGCAATAAGTAAGAAAGGTGACAGGGAAAAAAAGTTTAACATATTAGCAATGTAAGTCGGCTATTTCTAATCTGCACGACATTTAGATCTATTCAACCATGTAAGAATGACAACAGGAACAGACAGGTGAGTGTGTAAAATACATGGATGCACACTTGTACACCGCAACTTGCACAACTCCAGTACAACAAATGCACAATATATATAAAGGCCCACATTTATTCTTATTTCTCTCCCTATGTACCATTCTCATGTGATCCAATCTATATATATATATATAGAAGTGCGTTCAAATGAGAATGAAAGATAGTGAAAAAAATAACAATAAATAAGGGCCCTTGGATATAATGAACGAACGATGATGTTGGGGTAAAATATACAAGACCCCCTTGTATTATACGAAATCTGCGCGTTTCCCCCCTGTATTTTAAAAATTGCGTCAGATCCCCTTCTGTTAAGGTTTTGTATGCGCGAAACACCCAAAATCGTCTAAATTTTGGGTGTTTCGCGCATACTAAACCTTAATAGAAGGGGGTCTGACGCAATTTTTAAAATACAGAGGGGAAACGCGCAGATTTCGTATAATACAGGGGGGTTTGGTGCATTAAACCCGATGATGTTGTAGTGAATCTGCCTTCTAAATACAGTCAAAGGCGCGGTGGCATGGTCAATGCATCTCCACGGTCATAATGATAGGGAGAAGGGCAGTATTGTATTTTAACTCTTAAAGGTTCGGGGTCAAAGACAAAGTATGCATCAATCATCATCAGTTTTCTTTTGATACAGGGAATTTCGGAGAGGAGAGAGAGAGTCAGAGAGAGAGAGCAAGCGAGAAAAAGAGTAATGAAAGAATCTGATTCCTCTAGAGTGAGCTATTGATGTTCGATTTTGTCAGAGAGATTTTACAACAATCTAATTTCGAGATTCATTGGGATTTTTTTGCATTGAAGTTCTGGTGCTGGAGAAAGATAATCAAAGCTCGTTTACTAATTTCGGAATGGGTAATTTCACAGTTCAAAGGATTGGATAAGAGAGAGCTTGAATTTCACCTTCAAATTGAAATCTTAGTACCTGTTCGAAATTCAAATTTTGTTCAATTATCCAATTCGTCTTGAAATCGAAATCTTAGAGTACGTTTGAATTTGTCTTCTTCATTGAAATTGTGTTTTTAAGTTTTATGTTGATGATATGGGTCCGACCCGCCGAAAAATGTCCGAGATGCACATCGAGTAGGGGGAAAGGGAAGGTGATATATTTCTTTCTATTTTATATTTATATTTTTCATTCAGGTTCCTCATTTGTTTTTTCTATTGTTCTATTGTGAATATCTGATTTCTTTCAATGTATGAGATCTATGATTAGAAGTTAGCATTCATGTATATCTAAAAAAAGAAGTAGGTGTTTTTTTAATTTATTTTTTGGTACTTTGTACAATTCTTGCTAGATTTATTATTTGATTCATAATATGCATTTTTATCATGCCTGAATGCCTTTGCTACATCTTCCACAATGTGAGTTCAATTGCATTTTCCAGCCTTTATGTGCATGATTGAAGTGAAACTACAAGTAAATGTAGTAAAAATTTTTGATCGTTCGAGTGCCTGTTCAGATGGCATATGAGCTCTATGGACTCTTAGCTGGAAAAGTTAGCACTGTCACGAGAGAAATCATCAAGCCTTCCTATGGTGGGGATGATGAAGCCTTCTTACGGAAAGTCATAACACCTATTTATCAAGTGATTGAACAAGGTAAATTCTCGCCACATAAATTCCTTGGTTAGAACCAAGTCTTTTTTCTGTAGAGATAATAGACATAGTGTTTGTATGGCTACCAGGGATCCAAGAAAGATAAAAACGGGATAGCCCCTCACACTGCCTGACGCAACTATGATGATTTAAATAAGTACTTTTGGTAAAGAAATATATTGAAAAGTAATATTTGTTAATGTTATCAACCTTTTCTTGCTACAATAAGTGATTCCGGCAAAATAAACAAAAGTCAACAGATTGCTTCCATTTGGCTTGGCCTACATGTGATGATGGTGAGTTTTTCAAATCAACATGAATTGTGATACATGTAACTGCAGTTGTCATTCCCTTGAGAATTTTTTCTTTGCTATGTCTAACTGGCACTTTGATATAGTCATATTATCATATACCGGTCCAAGGGCTCTCTACTCGACCGGGTAACTACTCAGACCGTCTACATGTCGATTTCCACAAAGTCGACTCCTCACCAAAACAGCCACGAAAGAGGGGCGAAGTCCATGCAAGTCGACTCCTCGGGGTCGACTTCCTGCAGTTGATTCCAGTTTTCTATGCCCTTAGTCTGATAAGAAATTAGACTGCTAGGAAAAGTCGAATCCCACTTAAGTAATAGAGCGTAGCCTCCGAATCCTCATGTGATCATGAGTCGACCTCTCAGTTCTCGGGGTGGACTTCTTATGCCTCGAGACCGAAAACGTGATGACGACTCATCACACTTGCAGCATACTTGAGGCTCTGCATTCTTCAATGGATAAGAGGGAATCTTGTGATAACGCAGCAGCAAGGGGGGACGAACCGACCAGGGCATTTTAGACCTTTCATGTAAGTTGACATGGGCATTTTGGGTACTTCAAGTAAGGGTTTCCTCCTATATAAAGGGGGTTAGGTAACCCTAAACCCTAACTTCTATTCATTCCATACTCTCCTCCATAGCTGCTGCTGCTCTCTCTCAAAGCAGCCTCTCTTCATCTCTTTCGCATACTGACTTGAGCGTCGAAGGCTCTACGCCAGAAACACTTCCGCCGTTGAGTTCTTGCAAGTGTTGTTGCAATCTAGTAAGGTTCGAAGGCGATTCAAGCAGATCTGAGCTCAAAACCATCGGTTCTCTTCAGATCTAGAAGTAGACCCATCATTTTGGCGTCGTATGTGGGCAGTTCTTGAAGGAATTAAGAACTTTGCACCTAGCTCCGATATGTTTCTGATGGCTCAGAAGGAAGGTTTGCAGAGGAACTTGAATGAGGAGTTTAGGGGAGCTTGGACAGACAGGAGACCACCACCACTCTCTACCCCTAGACCTCCAGTGATGCAGATGATGGGACTGCCACCATTTGAAGGACTTCTGCCGCCGGGGATGAATCTGGGTGGAGAAACACCCATTACTCCACCCAGAGTGAAAATGCAAGTGTTGACCCAAGTAGGAACAAGCCAAAACCCTAATCTAGGTGTTGGAGAGAAGGAACCAACGGAGATGTCTCGACGTGAGGGAAAGCAAATCCAGGAGGTGCCGGAGCAGACACAAACACAACCCCGCGTCAAGGAGCAAACGCTGACGATGATGAGGAGCGAGATGCAAAAGATGATAACTGAAGCTGTTGCCGCCCAGATGAAGCAAGTGGGGCGAGTCGAGCAGAATCCCCAGGTTGAGCAGAACCTACAGGTCGAGCAACAGCCTCGCGTCGAACAACAGGCTCAATCGAACGTGCAGCAAAACAGAAGGGCGGACGAGGAGGAGTCTTCCATTCAAACTATCAACCCGCAAGCAAGAGACGAGACGTTGGAGCAGTTGTTGGCCCAGGTCCGCGACTTGCAGGCTCGAGTCGGGGGAAAGAAGAGTAGGGGAGCAAAGGAGCATCCGTTCTCGCAACAGATCCAGAGGGGCGACTTACCCCAAGGCTTCAGGGAGTTGAACATATGGTACGATGGCTCCACTAACCCGTCTCGACATCTAAGAAGCTTTGAGAACATGGTGGTGCTCCACCGCTATAGTGAACCTGTGCAGTGCCGCGCTTTTCTGACGACTCTGAAGAGGTCGGCTTAGGACTGGTTCCACCAATTACAAGTTGGGTCGATTCAGGACTTTGATGGTTTTAGCTCGAGATTTCTCAATCAATTCGTGAGTGTTAGAGTACAAGAGAAATCTTACCTCTCACTGATCAGCATGCAACAAAAGAAAGGCGAGTCGCTGCGAGAGTATGTGGCAAGGTTTACGAGGGCATGTGTCGACTACCCAACAGCAACAGAAGAGATCAAATCGGGAGGATGGACAAGGGGACTGCTACCAGGGTTGTGTAAAAACTCTTTGGCTAAGCGACCTGGTAGAAGTTTCGATGACGTGTTGGGAAGATGTGCTAAGTACATGAATGTTGAGGAAGCAGAAGTCGACTACCTACAAAGCATGAAGTTGTCCCAAACTGAAAATCGAGATGACAAAAAGGAGAAGAAGATTCATTCGCCCGGGGAAAGGAGAGGATCCCCACGAGCTGATAGGGTGAAAGAGGAGGCCTATTCAATACACACCCCTGTCGGCTCCTCACGTGAGAATACTAGATGTTATGAAGAGGGAGATCTGAGACGATGTGGTGAGATGGCCAAGGACAAGAAAGGACGGACCGGTAAAGCCCAAGAGCAATTTGTACTGTCGATTCTACAAACACTGTTGTGACTATTTTTGTTATGTTTTTTTATTCCTATTTTGTTCTTCTTTTTTCCCCGTTTTATGTCTTTTAGTTGGTTTTTAGTTCGTTTTATAGTTTATTGTGTGTTTTGCTCTATTTTGGTCTTCTATGTGTTTTTCGTGTGTTTTTCCGTTTTGTTTCTTGTCTTAGTTGTGCAGGTCGGAAGCCCCATGAGGAATGAATTTAGTCCGAAAATCAATCGAACAACCGTGGCTGCATAGAGGAGTTCCTTAGCTACACATAGAAAAAAACGGAATCCAATTTTGAGTTCGGATGAATCCGAACGGGGCCGAAACGTAAAGTCCAGCAAACTACTGACCATTTGAAGGTTGGAAGACCCTAGAGGATTGTATTCCGGGCAAAATCTGAATTTGAAAGTATCATTTAATACAGGGGTTCGTTATTGACGCGTAGGAAAAAACGGAACTCAATTCCGAGTTCAGACGAGCCCAAACGAGCCCGAAACGCAAAGTCACGCAGCCCAGTCCTCCTTAGCGGCGCTATGAAATCTTAGCGGGGCCAGAGAGTCTGTACTGAAATGCCATAGCGGCCGCGAAGGAGGGTTAGCGGTCGCTAACCCCGCCTGGCAGACAAGTTCTTTTTCTTTCCTCAAAATCAGGCCTAATGGAGGGTGTGCTCGGTAGTGGGAAGGCTTGGACTAACTTTGCACCCCTGATTACGGTTTTTGGTGTGGAAGAACATACTCCACTTACTCTCTTCTATCTCTCTTTATATCCATTATCTCCATCAACATTCATGCATCCTGGAACCAAGGGGGGTTCTCCCCCCTCTTCTCCTTCTCTACTTCTTCACCATCTTTCTTCATTCTCTTTCGTAAGTTTTTCTTAAGTTTTTATTTTGTTTTTCTTGGAGAACTTATTAAAGACATTGTTGTATTGTGGATTAATTTTGCATTTGCTCTTGGCTTGTGGATTTCACATTCATAGTAAGTTATCTCTTTCATTTTGTTTATGTTGAGAATGACTTATTTTCATGTGAATGTTTATGTTGAAATTATTATGAGCAACTAATCCATTAGCTAGGGTTAGGGAATAATTATTTCGGTTTGTTCTTATTTACGTGCATGACGATAGCTCAATCTTGACGAGTTATTTTAATTATGAATTGATCAAATCATACTTGATAAACTTTTATAACCTAAGAGTGACACTTAGGTTAATTTGTTGATATAATCGAAGAGTGACACTTTGATTTGCGATTGAATATTGATTTGTTGAGTTAGAGTTTGATAATTCTATGAATTGCGACTTTTAGAACCGAAATGGGAGGAGTTGTAGAGATAATCGATTTCAAAACCGAGAGGAGAGATATCGATGGAACTTGGCTCGTTTAGAGTAGACATGTTCGGAAACGTATTGTCTATGTGTTAATTGTTTCGTTAATTTGCTCTTTTATGTTTATCCTCATATTACGAGAGTTAGTGAGGTTAAACCGCTAAATGAGTTAGTTAGTCGAGCCTTTTAACCGAGTTATTAATTGCCGTTAAATGTGTGTAGAACCGAAAGCGATTATTCCCAATACCCTAGCTCGTCTATCTTTTATCATTTGTATTCTTAGGTAGATTATCGTCTTATGTTATTTCTTAGTTGTTAATTTTTCAACCCTATCGAGATTAGAATGTGTAGGATTTATTTTGCTTTTATGTGTTATCGATATCAATACTAAATTCCGAACTGCCTTCCTCGAAAGATCGACCTGGGAAAAGAATCATTCTATTCGGTGCTCGGTAAAATAAAAATAATTTGCTACAACACTGATGATTGCAGACACCTCAAAGACGAGATCGAAAGGTTGATCAAAGCCGGTCATCTGAAGGAGTTCATATACAAAGATCGCGAGAAGTCGAGCAGAAGGAGAGAAAGAAGTAAAAGTCCTCGCAAGAGGGCGAGATCACCAGAGAAGGAGTAACTCCCCCCGAAAAGGAGAGTAATTCACATGATTTTTGGAGGGTCGACAGACGGAGATTTAAATCGAGCAAGGAAGGCGTATGCTCGAGGTCGATATGCAAAATTCAGGTGAATCAAGTCAAGGAGAACGGGCCAGTGATGAATTTCGGACCTGCTGATGTAGGAGGCCACACAACAATGCCTTAATGATAACAACACAGGTGTCGGGATATGAAGTGCAAAGAGTGTTTGTCGACACCGGGTGTTCGGTGAACGTAATCTTCTATGAATGTCTCAAAAGGATGGATCTCGACATCGAACTTACCCCCCTACATACATATCTCTTTGGATTCAATGGCTCGAAGGTCGCACCCTTGGGAGAAACCATGCTCGCTGTTGTCCTAGGGGAAGGCGACTTGAGGAAAGTGAAGATGGTGAGATTCGTTGTGGTCGACGTCGAGTCGGCTTACAATGTAATTCTTGCGAGGCCAGCACTCAATGCTTTTCAAGCGGTGGTATCGACTTACCACA